ATATATATATATATATATATATATGCTCATATACACATATATAGTATGTGTATATAATATATAAATATTTCATATTAATTTAGTGCCCACAAACATGGCTACAAATGGTGGAGCCAGAGGAGGTGGAACTGGTGTGTGGAATCTTTACATGAAACAAATAAAAAGGGGGGAGTGCAGGGGTGGAGCATTGATGTCCTGCTTCCTTCTCAGCCATGCTCCTAAGCCATACGTCCCTCATGAACACACAAACAGTTCGAGTGAGTTGGCGTGCGTGATGGCGGCTAGCTGCTCCGAGTGTCCAAAGGAAGAGAGCGTGGGAGGGGCTAGTTGTTCTCAAAAAGGGAGAGCAGGTCATCGTTGCTGTTGGCGGGGAGGTCGGGAGGGTCCAGGTAGGAGAGTAACTCTTCCGGGTTGGCTAACTCTGGAAGCAGCTGTGTGGGAAAAGCATCAAAATAAAGAGGTGAGGCGCCTTTAAAATATCAATCTGCTCAGTTTTCTTTAGAAGACGCATGTGGCAATCAAAGCAGACAGGAAAGAGATGAGAGCAGCTGTAGCAGACGATGCCAAAGCAAGACACACTTACATCCAGGGAGGGTTCGGGCATGTCCTGGGCTCCCTGAGCCATCTGCGCTTCTGAGGAGGGGTTAAAGCTCAGATCGCTGTGGGGGTGACTGTTCTGCCCAGGGTGCTGAGGCTGCGGCTGGGGCTGTTGCTGCTGCTGGCGAGGAGGCTGCGATGATTGGCTGCTGTGATGTAGGGGCGGCCCTGACTGGCCGCTGTGATGTAAGGGCGGCCCTGATTGGCTGCCAGTGTGGGGAGGCACATGCATGCTCTGCTGCATGGGGTTATGGGACTGATCTGAATGGGACATCTGCAGGTGCGAGACGCAAACAGAAAGCCAGAGAGTGAAAAGAAAGGATAAGGATCGAATTTGAAAGACACAGAGGGGGAAGATAACGTGTTAAGGCAGGAGAGGGTGGACTAAATGAGAATGAATAATGAGGAACAGGCCTTTAAAATGGATGCATGAGCATGTGAGCATGACTAAGCACACATGCTGGTTTTGAGGTATAGGCTGAACCTCTTTCAGGTAACAGGTTGGTTAACAGTCTTTATTTTGTCTCTTTGCCTGCAGAGTTATGTTCTCCCTCACTTGGAGAATGAGACACTATAGTAGTAGCGTATAGTATAGTATAGGGTCCGTCACTTTAAAACCAAAAGCTTTATTTGAATTATATTAGGCAGATGAACGCAAAGTAGTGCATACGGTAGTAATAGAAATTAAATCCTTATCCTTCAGAAATGAAAAGATAAAGAAAAACTGTCAAGACATAATAATCTAAACTGAGAAGGAGATTAGTAGGACAAACAGTCCAGGTGGAATCAATTGGTGCCCTGTGCAAACTTGACACTTATGGAAGAAAAAAGCTATTAGTGAAAGAAAGCCAAAAGGTCAGTTTGCCACAAGACAATGTAAGAGACACAGAAGATTCTAGTCAGATCATACCAGAACAACAAAACTAAAACTAAACTCTGACTGGATTTCACTATAATCTAACCATTCCAACCGTAAAAAAAAAAAATATATTTTTTTTTTTTGCAGAATCACACTTTCTTCTGCAGGGGCTGGGATAAACTACAGCACTATTTGCAGGTAACGCTACTTTTTCATAACCTTGTGCTGCAAGCTGGATTGCAGCGAGATCTGAGTTTTCAGTCTCACAACAAATCCATTCGCTAAAATGTCCGTCTCGTAACCACCAGCGAGTCAGACCAATGACGCGCCTGCACTTCTCTTTGGTGCGAGACATTTAGGAATGACAGTCAGAAAGGCCTTGCTGGGGCATTGCAACCACGGCTACGCTATAAAACTCACCTGTCCATAACGCAGTTGACTCTGGCTTTAGCTAAGATAGCGACAATTTGTCGTTTAAAAAAGGAGCAAAGAGAAGCACTTGTCTGGGCTTTTATATAGTTAAAACACTTTACAGTACAGTATTTTATCGTTTTGAATTTTCTCTTGACAATTATGTTATTCTTATACATTTTTCTATGGTCCACATTTGTGGGACAATTTTTTCTATTATCTTTTTAATGCTGTAACACCAGAATTTCCAAATTGTGGGACAATAAAGGGATTTTCTATTCTATTCTATTCTATTCTATTCTTTTCTATTCTATTCGCTACTGACAGGATTTGGAAAAAGTTTGATTTATCAGCTTACTCTGCTAGTTGTGAAAGCACTCAATAAGCTGCAGACAAATCCTATTGGGATCATTGTGTCTCCGTTGTGGGCTCTCATGGACGACCAAGTTGCCTAAGCTTTTAGGCTGCTATGATTGGCTGAAAGCATTTTATAGAAGGTGGGTACTAGCTAGCATGTCACCCAATCAGCTCGAAGTATTGTATTAATTGTCTCTGATTTTCATAGACAGACTTAACGGCAGCCATCCTAGATTGATAATGTAGAGTTCAACTCAGTTCTACACATCTGGCAACTGCCAGGTTAACTTTTTCAAAGCATATCCACAACTATGCACTACTTTGTGGTTTCTACCACATAAAGTCTAATAATACTCAAGATTTATGTTGCAATACAAACTTCACATTAAGGGGGTATTACCACCCTTTCAAGGCATTGTACGTTTTATTTACGATTTCTGGTAATGTACTTACTGAATCGTTCATGCTGTGACTGAGGGGCTTGTCCTGGGGGAGAAGACCACCAGGTCCATCAGGGGGATGAGACAGCTGTGGGCCATGGATGAAATCATTCATAGGAGGACCTCCTCCTCCTCCACCTCCACCAGATTGGTTACCGTTAGGGAAGTCAAAGCTACCTTGATTGTGGTAGCTGTTTCCTTCAGACGGAAAAGAGAAAAACAAACACTTGTTCATAACAAAGAACAGCAGCCTGTGGGCTTTTAATGCAAAATATAGAAAAACATTTTAACTTCTTTACTGGAGAGAAACAACTTTCTGAGAAGAAAGACTAAAACAGTTTGGGCATCAAGCTCTTCCTCCCAGCTGTTTGTTCGAGTAAAGAAAAGTTGTAACATCAACCATTACAACAGAAAACAGCAACAGGAACTTTCGCTTTAAAGCTAAACTTAAGGTGTGGTTTAGATCCAGACTGAAAGGAGAATTACCTACTATGATTTAAACAGAAATAAAAAAATGTTCACTAGGAATTTACTAGAGTTACATTCTGTAACCTGCAAAAACCACGGATGAATGGAGGGACGGAGGGCAGGAGGGGGGTGAAGGGCATATAGAGTAGTTTGACATGTGAAAACATTTTGTTTTCCTTTCCCACCTGCTTAAACTTTTATTATTTTATTCTTTTAATTTCATTTTTATAGTGCCAATTCACAGCACACATCTATACAGAGACAATCTAATCCAAACCTTCAGTTGGACTGGTTCAGAGTTTTCTATCTGACGAATTTCTCTTTGCTGTTTCTTACCTCCTCCAGGGTAATCTCCTCCATTGCCGCTGGGATGCTGACCAGGGTGAGGGGGGTAGGAACTTGGACCTGGACCTGGTCCGTGTCCTGGACCAGGCCCTAGCTGAGCTATCATGTCCATCACGTTGGGCATGGTCATCTGACTGGGGCTCATGGTCTTAAAGCGCTTCGCCAGCGGTCCATCTGGATCCTCTTTTATGTGCAGCTCTGATTTGATTGGAACAGGTCTCCAGCTACAGGTGGGGTCGATAGTGACCTCCTCAAAATCTGAACTGTTGAAGGAGACAGCAGATTGTGTTGATTTGAAACAGACTTATAGAAAAATATGTTGCCTTATAAGTGAATAACAAACTTACTTCTGGATGGCATTAAGGATACCCCACATGTACTGGTCGACCTCTAGGCCTTCTAATAACGCTGTTTTACTAAAAGGACAAAAAAATAATAATACCTGTTATAGTTATTCTGGAGAACATTTTAATCTTTACAAGCGAACAACACTAAATATCCCTTACTTGCACACAGGACACCTCCATGTCCCCCTCTCACAGTTGAGCTGCAAGTAGGACTCCAAGTCAAAGCACTGTAGAGGACGACAGTGTTAGACAGTTAGAAAAACCTTTTTGTCGTTTTATTTTTCTGCTTTCTAAAGTCAAAACAAACCTGCACATGTTTGCAGTCGTGTCCCCGTGCGGGTAGCTGGATGCGTCGAAAGGTAATGGGACATTTCAGGGATACTTTGATGGCCGTCTGTTCCACGCCGTCCTCTCCGTTGAGAGTGGTGTTGCCTGCTGATGCCGCTACGCTGCTGAAATTCCTCTTGACTGCCGAGGAGAAAGTGTTTCAGAGGGAAATTTGATTGGTGGACAGTGACAGGTGTTTGCTGACATCTGTGTTAGAGAATTCCCATAAAGAGAACTACAGTAAAAGCAGAAAATGAGCCATACTCTTGGTGATGCAGTGTTCTGCAGGAAGGAGCCTCTTCTTTAGAAGCCCCTGGAGGACGGAGCGCACAGATGGCCTGTGGACCAGCTGGAGCACAAACAGGTGGGACTGAAAAGCAACAAGAGACAGAGTTACCTACCTGCTTCCTCTGAGCGGAACATGTCATTCTGCTAAATGAAATAGTTTAATTTCAGCGCATTTGATAAATAAAACTCACACAGCAGCAGGCGGTGACCGTGATCTGGATGGTGTTCCTGCCCGGCTGGCAGACGTGCTTTAGGTGCAGCGGCTTGTGGGAGGTTTTGTTGTCACCCCTCTCGATGGTGAGCGGTGTGGCGTTGACGCTGACCTGAACCGAGGCCGGCCAGTTGGTGTTCATCTGCCTGTCTTCATGGTGGTAGCACTTGAACTGGAGTTCAAGGTCTGACCTACAAAAGGAGCAATAATATGTCAGAATAGGCTGCGTATGACTTAAATGCATATCTTCACCGTCTATGCGGATTAAAAGCAATCCCACAGTAAGATGCTGCCACAAACTAGGCATTGGCTTAACGGGTACCTCCACATGAGTGTCTGATGGACGGAGGGTCGCAGATGGAAGACGTGGTTACTGACAGCCAGGTTGTGCTCCAGGCGGAACGGTTCCAGCACCACCCCGTCTCTGACTGGGAACGTCAGCCGCAGCTCCTCATTTGGGTTGCCTGAAGAGCAGAAAACAGCCTCTAATCCTGGCACATAACACCCTTACAGTTCAAGACAAACATATGAACCCTTTTGTGGTAAAAACTGCTGCCTAGCTCACCCGGTGGGGGCGGAAGTGCTGTCATATTTGGTTTCATGTCAGGTGGAAATGGGGGCTTCACATCTTGGTTTGGAGACAGATAAGGGGGAATACTGCTTCCTGGGGTCATAGGAGGAGTTGGGTTTCCAGGGACTGGAGAGTGGGGGTAGTTACCAGGCCTGGGGGGCTATAAAAGACAGGAAATGTACAATAGTTAACTTAAAGACCTGCTGAACTAAATGTACAGACAACTTATTTAGGTAAAAGCTGAAATTATAGGAGAAGAAAGTTAAAACACACCCCATTGCCTTGGTTATAGGAGTATCCGCCTCCAGTGAAGCCAGTATTCTGACCATTAAAGGACTCTTGCTGTAAAGTAAATAAAAACAAAGATTGTTATCTTTGAAGGCAGCTATCAATGGCTTATCTCTAAGAGTTCAGGAAATTTGGAGTTTAAAGATGAAGCAGCAAAACCAACCTTATAGTACTGGCCCATGGGCATACCAGGGGGGTACTGTCCCTGGCCCTGCTGCACTGGCATCCTCTGGCTAGGGTAATTAGGGGAAGGCAGAGGCCTGGAGGCATTCGATGAGGGGTACCCTGCCTGTTGATGCTGGAACTGGCTGTTTGGCCCAAACTGCTGGCCACCATAGTTGCCCTGGATATTTAAAGTCAAAGCCATTCCAGTTAAAACTAACATCTGACGTTATTCTTAAGAGTCCTGTAGTTGTTTAAAGTTTTTACTGACCTCCCCAGGATACGGCCTCTTCATCCCCTGCATGGGAAGGCCCTGCCGCGGCCCCCCAGGATAACCTTGCTGAGGCATCCTCTGGCCGGGACCCCCAAAAGGTCCCATGCTTGGGGTTCGAGCCTGACTCATACCAATTGGAGGACCACTCATGTTAGGGTTGTTCATGGCTGCCGGATTCATACCTCCAGGGGGTCCTCGTGGGCCTGGCTGGTTCATGAACTGGCTGTTGTAGGAAGGTGCAGGGCCCATTTGGAACGACGGGCACATCTACGGAGAAACAAAGAATTAAAGTGTTAAACAGGCCTTATTTGGTTCAAAAGCAGTTGGCTCGTTGTCAGTGTCGGGTTCTATACCTGTCCGTACTGGTTCATTTCTTTATTCTGTGTCTCCTGCAGAGCTGCCACTGTGGCGGTCGCAGTGGCCGTGGCTGTGGCAGCAGCAGCAGCGACGGCTGCAGCCGCAGCTGCAGCAGCTGGTGGAGTGAAGTCCCCAGGGGCGCGTGAGTGGGCGGTCATTCCCATACCTCCAGGAGGGGCGTTTGGGCCTCCAGAGTAACTACAAAACAATCATTATGTTAAAATGTATTTAGATTTAAATCTCAGCTCTTTTCCACAGCTCTGTTTATGGTTTTTATTTACATTCTTTAACATTATGGTGATTTAAGCACAGAGTGGGATCATTTACTGGTCTTTTCCCACAAAACATCACATAATACAGAACATCAGGATGTTTTGGTAAAAGGCTCCTCCATATTTTTATCTAATAATTTATTAGTTATTCATTTTATTTACAAATAATTAAAATAGGAACATCAGTGATTTATTAGGCAGAACAACTGAGCCAAGTTCAAAATCAAAATCAAAGTGAAGCCTTAAGTTTTTTTTTTATTCCTTTCTTAATCTGTTAGTAACTTTAAAACTAATCAATTATTAAGTCAAAAATAATATTGTGATTAGGCAAACAAGAAATTATGTTATCATTACAGTAATAAGCAAATATAGCAACAGGAACCATGTTAAGTAACCTTATTGACATTTGGAATAAACTCTGATTTTATTTTCATTTCCCTTTGGGAATAAAGGACGTATTTTTTTTAGAGTTTAAACTGAAGAGGGTTCTTAGTCACACTGTATGCGTTTCTTAGCAGCAAAACAGATATAAAAGGTTTTTAATATTAAACAGACATTTTTATTCCCCAATTAACATTATAATGATGACATTAAATCCTGTTGCAGGCTGATAGTAGCCTCGGCTTCTGATCTGCTTCCATACAAATAATGGCTGATTTATTCTCTCACCTTCCGCTGTATCCCCCAGGACCGCCAGGGTAGCCGGGCCGGCCGTACATCCCCTGCTGCATGTACGACTGGCCGGACCCTCCTTTGTTCGGGAACTGCTGCTGCTGAGCGCTAAACTGAGGTGAAGTGAGTCCTGCTGCGCTGGCAGACATACCGGATCCCATGTGGTTCGCCCCGGGGTTCATGTGGTTGTTGCTGTTTGCCATAGGGTTACACAGCACCTACAGTTAGGAATGAACCATTTCGTTAAAAAACATGTTTAGAAGAGTACATTCATGGATCAGATCTGCAAACTAATACTGAGGTGAGCATCATAAAGAGGGTGATTAACTAAGAAAGGATACCTGACTCTGTGATGTATTAGTCACACCCCACACTGTTGTAACCACGGATAGTGACCCTGGGGGCTGGTTGGTGTTTTGTTGCCAGGGGACAGAGTCATAAGGAAAGGACCCATCACTGGAAAACAGATAAAAACACAGTCTTTCTCTAGTGCTATAAAGTTGTTTATAAAGCAAGAAGGGATAGAAGATGAGACAGAGAGAAAAGCTTTAGGAGATGCGATAATGAGCAGCTTATTAGACCCCAGGATAAACTACACCTGATCAGTTCTTAGAGCTCTGGAAAAAAATCCTTGGATAAAAATAACTCTGGGAGCTGGAATTTAAGTAATTCTGACATAAACAAATAAGACTGAGTCTGGGACATTTAATAAATAAACTAAATTCTCTTGGGTAGAGACGAGTGGTCTGTGCAGACGGGAGGAAGTGCTGTTTCTGGACAGCGGTTTGTTTTCTCTCTGAGGTCAGTTCTTGGAATGGACGACGTGTTCAATATTTCCTCACAAAAAAGGTACAACATTCCCCCAAAGACCCTCAGTGGAGGTAAACAACTTCTTGGCTAATTCCAGGATGTGGAAACCACTATGAATCTGTTTTTTGATTTTTCTTTTAGAACTTTTCTGCACTTGACGGCGGATCCTTTCTCCGTTTTATAACCATTTTTATTTTTATTTCTTTCTAACAAAAACACATTCCAACACATGTAACTGACCTGTGTGTGAGGCCAGGCTTCATGCCGGGCTGCATGGGGACTTTTCCCTGTGGTTCGTTCTGCCTGTTCTTCTGGTGACGCAGTAGGAGGAGACGGCCCAGCTCCTCGCACCACGATGACAGCAAAGCTGCGAGGAAAACACACATAAAAAGCAAAGGTTGTCAACCTATTCTAGAAAGAGTGATCATGCAAGTGTGGTCAAGTAAACCTCCATCAGATCCAATCATAATATCTAAGGCTGATGACGAGAATCAGCATGGATTCCCATTTTAGTTCCCCATTACTCTTAGATACTATAAATGTTGGTACAATGATCCACATTTACCTTCAAATTTTGAGCTCTACTTTCCAAATAAGTTTGAAAAGTGATAATGTTGCAAAACCAGCATACTTATGGAATAATACATAAACTTAATTTATGTTGTGTGTTCCCCTAGTCTGTATGCTACACCATTTGTTCTCTATTTTTAGAAATTAGTTAAAACATAGCTAACACTGTGTTAATGCTTTATCTAAGTAACAATAAATCTGCGTGGCATAATATTTCAGAATTTATTGTACATCCCATTTTAATTAGCCATTTTCATAGCTCACACTTCATTAAGTTGCTTTATTTTATATAAGTCTATTTTGTGCTCCACATTTTTGGACTTTTGAAGGCTTCAGAAGGTCAATCTTAAGTCAAAATTTTCGTTTTTTTCAAAGGTCCCTGTAAATCCACTCTTTATGAAACAACTTATTTAGGTGGCATCGCTATCAATATTTAACATTCCCTGTATTTAATTTTGTATTAAGAACAGTAATTATTGGGTTTTTTGTTTTCCTTCTTTTGAACTTTTGTGATAATTCTCTCATTTTAAACTGCTTTAGTTTATGGTTATGCAACCACCTCCAAATAGGAATCAAATTTTTGCCTTATTTCTTTTTTTCCATTCTTCTTCTCGATCTACAGTTTATAAGTGGACAGTAAATGTCTCCACTGTAAGATCAATAAAGTCTATTTTTATCTCATCGTATCTTGGGAATGGAAAACCCTCAACAGAAGCTTTTAAAATAAGCCTACAGCAATCTTGAAAGTTGTTTTGTGTTGTCTCACTAAATTGTGTGCTTGCCTGCAATGCCTCCAGAGGGCAGCACGATGCAGCAGAACTCATTTGGATTATTTACAATGCCTGTGTATTTTTACAGCAGTTCTAGCACATTACATCTAACTGCAATGTGAAATCAATCTGCAAAACAAAAGGAACCCCCTGTTCTTTTTTTCATTCACGATCGAGATGCAGAATGTAGTGAGTTGGAAAGAGAGACAGAGCTACTGAGGTTACAGATAAGATCAATGTAGGAAGTAAGAAAAAGTGATATCTCCACTGTCCTTCACTTCCTCTCTTCAGCACTTCCTCTCCATGCGAAGAACCGTCCCCTCAGATCTCCCAGGTGCAATCTGCCTTAGTAAGACGGCAGGCTGTATTTTCTATAGGCACTTGTGCTAATTTTTATTCTTTTTCCAAATACCATTTAAACCTATATTTTGGTTAATTCAAATACCATTACAATGTCATTAGGTAAGGTAAAATATACCATCTGCTTTAAAAAATAACAGTCACAATTGGTTTATTTTTACCAATTTGAATACAGAAATGAATAAATATGAGGACATCCATTTGAAAATCTTTGAAGATATAGTACGCATATGTACTATATATTCATTTCCTGAAAGATAAACAGCTTATTAGACGAGGGAATGTTTTCTCCAAATATGAAAGGAGAAAAAATGAAGAGCGACAGAGAAGCAGCAGTATTTCCTTCTACAGGGCAAAGAGAGCCAAGCCTCATTGTTAAAGTGAAATTATTCCACCCTGCCATTACACAGAGCTTATCTCCACACTAAATCACTACCTCCACACAAAGTGACAGTCTCTTCAACTGGCAACCTACCATTTATAACCCAAACTCTGAGAATGAATGACAGAGTTGCTCTGAAATAAAGACAGAGAACTGAAGGATGTGTGTGTTCTTTTTCAACAATATCAGAATAGAAAGAAACTGCAGAATGTGCCAGAAGTCAATCAGATTAATCTGGGCTGTGGACCTTTTAAATAAGAAATGAACACATTTATCTAGTCATACTTACCACTCAAGCAGTTTACTCTAGCCACAGACACCAATGCACACACTTTCATACACTTTCATTGCCCAGGGGTACATCTATATTTGACAAGGAGAAGCCGGAATTGTACCCACAACCTTGCGCTATGATTACCCATAGTGCCACAGTTGTGGGATATCCTAACAAGCTAATTTATTTGACCTTAATCCAACCTTAAATTCCTTTTATTTACTAAACAACTTCAAACAACAGGAAGAGTCGTCTCTGAAATCAACCTCATTAAATGGTTTGTTAATGTCATCAGCGGAAAGGACAAAGCATCTGTTGCCAAGAGTGCAGACAATCAGCCAACAAAAGCAGGGGAATAAAAAACTCAAGGTCTCTGTCCAATTCCACCTCTCTCTCATCTGTTCACTTATTCGCATTTCATTTCACTGAAGCCTTTAGAGTTTAATTGCACACTGTATAATGAAGATGCTAACAGCAGCCAGATGAAGACAGGCCAAGGTTAACTGCTTATAGGCATTTTGTTAAAGCCATGACACATAGTCATATAGGGATTCCCATGAGCAATGGACACAATCAAGGACTGTTAAGAGATTTGTCAATATGCATTTGACCCAAATACTGTCTGTCTATGTTGCTGATACAGAAGATGAGCAATCGCGACCAATCATGAGGTCAAAAACTGTGACTGTATTCGAGAAGAGACATTTTATGATCAACAATGACCTAATCTAACTTCACTTTAATTAAAATAATGGACTAAATTCAAATGTAAGACACTTGTTAGAGTAACAATTGAAATGAAATATGTCCTATTGCATCCCTTAAGGTTGATTTATGCTAGGGAAAACATGGTGGACAAGCCTTTAGAGTGGGGCATATTAGATACAGAGATAGAGCTCTGTGATATTTTTTTTTATATCAATAAGTCCTCTGTTGTGGTCCTTCCCTTGTGCCTGTTTTCTGTTTCACTCAGTGAAGCAGCAAAGACGGAGCTTGTGTGTGCTCTAAAACTAGTTTAGTTCATTCATGAGTGTCAAAATTCAATTTTCATAATTTTCACAACTGTACAAAAGATACACAGAGGTTAACGGGTGGGCTGGGGTTAGAATTTATTTTTAACATGTTTTAAAAAAGCAGTGGGTAGCACTGCTGCCTTGCAGCAAGAAGGTTCTCGGTTCGATTCCCAGCCGAGGGTCTTTCTGCATTCAGTTTGTATGTTCTCCCTAAGCAAGTGTGGGTTCTCTCCGGGTACTCCGGTTTCCTCCCACAGTCCAGAAACATGACTGTTAGGTTAATTGGCTTCTCTAAATTGTCCTTAGGTGTGAGTGTGTGCATGAATGGTTTTTTGTCCTGTGTGTCTCTGTGTTGCCCTGTGATGGACTGGTGACCCGTCCAGGGTGTACCCCGCCTCTCACCCATTGACTGCTGGAGATAGGCACCAGCACCCCTCGCGACCACACTCGGGACAAGCGTGTCAGATAATGGATGGATGTTTTAAAAAAGCAACTTTGTAAGTATGTAATACCAATAATGGTACATTACAGAGGCCACATATTTTGTGGGTTCTTGGTCCTGGCTGCAATTAAAAAGGAATGGGGACCAATCAATATCTTTTAAGGGAAAGGTTTTCTTTTTGTACACTTGTTAAAGTAAATATAAAGTGATAATTGCCAGTATTGTGGGTCACATTTGTCATCTTTTGTCTTTATACCCAGTTCAATCAGCTCTAGTTCTTCTACTGCTCTGCAGAGCAGGGCTGCAACATGCAAATGTTCAGTATAGTGTTGTGGATGAAAACAGAGAGAATGCTGCTAGCTGTGAAATATAAAGCTCATTACAAAAATGCTTCAAACATCCCTGAGGTCTTATCCTCAAGGACTGAAGAGATGTTTGTTGCTGCTGCACATTTAAACACTTGATAACAACACAAACAAGTGTTTCTACCTTTAGCAGCCTGTATAGGGAAGTTAGGCAGCATTAACACAACTATGGTGCTTTAGAAGTATTTAAATTGAGGTTCTACTGTGCATTTTACAGTGTATTTCCATCTTGCCATTCCATAAGAAAACCTAAAGATATCTTGGAGGCAAATTAAAAACTACATGTAACTATGAAATAGTTAAGATAAATTGAGTTAGTCTTTTCCTCCAAAACAATGCAACCAACAAATTCCCAACTTATTCAACCCTTCTATGTACCAATACAAGATTTAATTTCCACAAAATGTAGATTTTTTTTCTAATGTTTTATCTTTCTTAATATTTTGACCTTGTTCTCTATTATGTGATTCTAATCTCAACTTTAAACTTGAAAATCCTGACCTTGTTAGAGTTTCTTCCTTTAGATAATAAAAAAGGGGATCAAAATCCATTAATGACCAGGTGACAGATACCATTTTGAGTCTTTCTTTAAAACCCAGCTGCTATTCGGAACAGCAGATTGCATTACCAGGGAAGTCTTTGCAACACAACTATAGCTCTGATGCACTTTATATAAAGGCGTTCTCTATAGCTTTCTTTAACTGAGCGGCTCTTTTACAAGTGCTTTGCTCTGCCGAGCTCTGCAGTGTCACCAGGGCATAAGCTTGTGCTCTTTTTAAAGGCTGAGGCCTTTTAATTGAGTAATGTCCAGTAATGACACATGGGACATATGGGTCCTTCACACTCAAGCTGTATTTAATGCCATGCAGCTGACTGATAGATAGCGGGAGCTCTGGCACGTTCTCACCTCACCTCGACCGCTCCTCCTGGGAGCAGCCAAGAGAGACGCAGAAAGCACGCCAGGCCCATTAACTAATGACAGAGTGGTAGTACAAGTCCCTTTTACAAGGGAACCCAAATGCTAATTACAATGAACTCTGATGGTGCTGAGCTCACACAAGCATATGTGTGTAAGGAAAAAGCGTTCTCCTTTTTCTGTGCAGATATTTTTTCCCAAAGATATTAAAACCCTCATCAAGCATTTAAAACATGCCTCCTCCATCATAAAAACTGCGAGATGTTTGAGCAATCTCGCTTTCTTAATGAAGGTCTAATGTACTTCAAATATGAAGATGTTGATCTGCTACACAATCAACACATACACACATACAAGAGTTGTGATGCTAAATTAGCAGAGCATATTTCCCAAATGTAAACAGCTATACAAAACCTGATAAAATTCTGGAAAACTAGTTTTACAAAGTAACAATTTGTATCAATTTATCTCAAATATTATTATTTAAACTCCAATGATCGTGATATATTCACATTTATAACTCAGATTGGGATGGTTGTTACATATTTTCTTTTTACCAGCAGAGCTTAATTACAAAATGTGGTTCAATATTCAGATAAATAACAGCAATAAAACATGTTGCTGCAATAACACAATTTTATGGCAGTGGGTCTATCAGTATAAGCGCTTTAAATCAATGATCTAAGGATAAAGAATTAACGAACACCAAAGCTTCAAAAGGTTAACCTTTAAAGCAATTTAATGAGATTGTACAAGAAGCGAAAAAGTGAAAGATTTTTTTGGCTTTAGAGCAGAGAACATTGCAAAACTCTCCATCCTCTATCTTCTTCTCGCCACAACAACTAGCATTCATATACTTCAGTTTTAAGGTACTACAGCAACAATGCATCGAACATCAGTTTTTGATGTTCAATGCATTGGCTCTTTATTATGTCCACAAGGAAAACAACACAAATTGTGAAAAAAAGTAACAAATCAAAATGCAACTGTATGAATCTATGGGTACGATCACACAGCAGCTTAAGTTTTGCTTAAATACGGTCATTTTTGTGTGGTCTTTCATACTGCTAATTAAATGCTACTGCTATCAGGCTTCAGTCTAAACAATTCAGGACACCAAAGTGACACGCATAGAAAGAGAACGTAGACCTGACAAAGCCCTGAGATGTGTTTTGAAGTATTGGTAGATGCCACTACGAAAGCAATCTGTGATTGCTGCTGGTGTGAACATAGCCGTAGATGCATTTGGCATCTTAAGTGATTCTTAACATTTTTGCTATCTTTACTGCTGGCATCCTAACTAAATCTTATGGTTGTCACAAATTTGACAAGAAAAATTGAAAACTTTCAAGAATTCTAACAATCCCAAAATGAAGCAATTTGATGCAATTTGTATTATCTGTGGTCTGCGTGGTCTGGTAGCATTAGATATAGCCTAGTTCAACTGCTGTCATACTGTTTCCCTTTTTGCCATGTACACTAAATATTTAAAACAAGAGGAAATGAAAGGGATTCTGTAGAAACCAAGCTCTGCAAAATCTTTTAAGTATCTTAATGTTACCATTATAAACAGTGCAATTTATTGGAATACAGAATGGGAAACAATCAGCAAGGGTTGGGCATCAAGAATCGACCAGAACTGCTTCTAACCTTTCAATTCTCCTTAAACCTTTAAAAGGTTTTATTTCCAAGTCCTCGTTTCGATGCCAAGCCCGTTGACTGAAAACAGAACCTGCCTGATATCAGTGAAGAAGAATCTGCAGGAGTGTGAGAGCAAACATCTATTTGTCCAGCAGTATTTCAAAGTCTGGCTTAAAGTTATTTAAAGAAGCAACCAGTTCGCTTACTGCAACACTGGTGATGGGGTTATATTATGCTAATGACGGTTCATGGCTAACATGATTAAACACAGCTGAACTCAGAAAATGAGCCTCATCTTTGACCTGCTGCACCCGTATTCTAAGGATTGTTTCTACTGCTAATTCGTAGCGCACCTTCTGCAGGGAGAGCAGAGACATTTTTATCCTTACTTTACGTCTTAACATATACCCACCTGATTTTCCACACCTGCTGGATGGAATGAAAAGCACTGAAACATAGATCTGCCGAAATTATTAATAATTTTATTATTGTTTATTTCGTTTGATTTGGAATCTGTTTCATATGAATAGTAGAGTGGAATTGAGGTGCAGTAAATAATGTTGAGGATTTAAACTGTCAGTATGCCTTCCTGCTGCGCTGCTTTTCCTCCAGCTGCAGTATTCAGCCTAACACCACACCACAGCCAGAATCAGGTAAATAAAATAATAAAATAGTCTTATACTGTCGTATCAGACACTCGATATATGTAAATGTGTTTTGTTTTTTGTTTTTTTATTTTAGAAAAGAAAGATCCATTTGAAAATGTAACTGAATTTAAAAATCAAAATATTTATATTACAGTTCATAGGTTTGATATTTTATATACTGGTTGAAAATAACCTTGTGATCATTTAAAGTAATGTTTACACAAATTTGAACGTGAAAGAAAATCTCAGATCTTTCCATCCAGACAGATATATAAACTAAGCCTATATAAATGAAAATACTAAGCAAATGGTAAAGACACCCTCAACATAACTGTAATAATCAATGTATAAGTTTTGAAGAAGTGGTTTTTGGGGTTAAGAAATAATTTGATAACATTTTTGGGAATAAAACTGATACTGAGAGAAGTGGCATTTTTACTCAAGAGCCTATACCTAACAAATAGGAAAATAATAAAAACGTATCATAATAAAATATTATCATATATAATAAAGTTTACATCATTTGATAGCCAACTGCAAACATTAAAACTAAAAATGGGAGCTAAATGGTGCAATTTAGATAAATGACTCCAGCATAAGAAGACAAAGTCATGATTCTGCACTTTCATGCAATGAGGCCCATAAAGCATCAATGCTATCGTACTGAAGCTTTATCTTCAGTTCTCCTTGTGAACCACTATAGGGTCTAAGAAACCAGATGTTGAAACAGAACACAGGAATGAGTGATGCTGAACAACTTAACTGAATGAGACCCTGTGCCTTTAATGAAAATCTGCACAACTTGAATTCAAGTCTTTATCAGTCCCATTCGTTTATTTTCTCTTACAACAACATAAATGAAGGACCTACTATGTGAAAAGTTACAAGTTCTGAGCAAGAGACACCGCAGCACCAGACAAAGAAGCCTTCTGAGACAATGTGTGGGATGATAAAGCATAGATATTATAAAGCAGCACTCTGTGCACACCCCGGCAGGTAGGCCTACATTGTGTGGGCACAAAATATTATGCAGAGGAAGAGTATGGGGGGATAAAATAAATCTTTTGAATTGGAAAAAAAATAAATAAATAAAATCATGCTCTTTGCAGGAGTGTAATGGAAGCCGTTTAAGCAGTCGATGATATCCCCCCTCCTGCCCCCTTTCTGTAGTAGCCAACTTCTTTTAAGAGAGGCATATCAAATGGGCTTTAGTCTCACCAGCTCGGAGGCGGAACAACCTAAACATGCCCTGCAGAGAGACAGCTCTGTCAGAAATCATACTTAACCTAACCCAGTTCACAGTCAGAATGTTTCTAATCCAAAGTTCTTCAGCAGACAGGCTGTTCTGAGTTCTTGTTAATAGTGTTCTGTTTTTTGTTTTGTTTTGTTTTTTTAAGAATTTGTGCTAAAAATACAAAAAAAGGAAACAAAACAGCATTGTTTTGTTTTCTAAATAATTTGACAGTAACCCCTCCACAACCTCTGGTGGTGCACCAGATCTGACGCCAGATAGTGAGCGGGGAGGAGGAGCAGGAGAAGATGAATGAAAAGACTCAGAACAGGTGGAGATGACGGGAGTGGGGAGATTCCCGCCTCCCCGGTGATTTATGTGTCACAAAAGCCAAAAATATATATTAAAAAATAAATAAAAACAAGATGCTGCAGCCCAAAAGGGAGGGGTAGCTCTACCTGAGTCACTCTGACATCTCCTGCAGGTGCTGGTTTCTGTGGGGTTCAAATTAAACATTTTTAAATGGGGGTCAGGGGGAGGAGAAGAAGAAGCATTAACACCAAACAATAATGCAGTGTGATCTGACTGGAAGGCAGAAGCAGGGCTATTTTAGTCACTTTTTTCTGCTGGAAAATAAATACTAATATTTCCTTTCTATTGCACATTAACTAAGACCTTTATGGAGATTTGACGTGAAGATAAACATCCTGTACACATAAAGTTGATTTAAAATTCTGAATCTCAAATTCTATGTTGTACAAAAACACGAGTCAAAGCTAAATATTTTTTATTGCTTGTATTCTCTTATTTTTCTATTATTATTATGATTATTATTATTAAAGGTAAAACAAGGTAAATAAAACATCTAGTCCACAAAAAAATAAAGAGCATACTATTAGTTGTAGTCTACCACCTTTTAGGTGACAAAACTTGCAATAAACAGGTGGTTTTGTAACTGTTAAAAAGCTCCTTCCAAACAATCTAAGATAATTTTTATTATTTAATCAAGATAAACGGTAAGAAAAAAAAAACTTCCTGAACAGATATCAGAAACGGGCTGCAATAAAAGCTGACAAAATCCTAAAAAATATAGAATAATTCTTTTGAGTTATGGCAGGTCGTCGCAGATCGATGGCAATTAAAGAGAAACAAGAATTTAACTTTATCTAGATTTTCCTTATGGAATCCAACGTTAAACTTTAGACTGCATTGCGTCCGTCTACACTAGTCCTAACCAATGAGTTTTTTGCTATACTTTAACCACAAACTCATTAGGATTTTATGCAATATGCGAATCCATCTTTATTAAGCCGCCATCAGTCAATATTTTGTGGAAACACATTTTAATTACAGCTGCAAGTCCTTTAGGCTTTGTCTATATCTCCTATGTAGCCTACATACACACATATTTGCACATTAGTCTTTACAAAAAAGTAAACGTTTTGTCTAAATGCAGGAAAAGTGTCTATGAACATGCATATAAGGTCTTCTCAGTTGAATTTATGTCTAACACTGTAGCTGAGGCTACAGTTTGATTTGTTGTGCTGCTGGAAGTCGAATAGGTCTATGGTCTGACCAACTGTCCTTTCCCGCTGAAAAATAATCCTCAAAGGATGATATTGTTACCGCTATCTTTCAGTGTAGAGACGATTTATGATTATGCAAGGTTGTTCATTTTCCTTCACACATAGCTTTTCCATATAGCGTATAAAGGTAGTTTTTGGTCAACATTTTCTACATGGTTGTTTTGTCCCCCCCTTATCGGGGTTGCAAAAAACTATTAACAGGTCAGGTATGTGAAGCACCAATCTAATAATCATCCTGTCAACAGATTCTCCTACCTAAGCTGTGGATCTCCATCTACCACTTGGCTGCCTATGGTTATGGTTGACTTTTTGGCCTCCTGGCTGCTCCTCTGATTAATGTCCTCGCCTGGTCTGTCAGTTTAGACAGAGGGCCTTATGTTCATAGTTTAGCATTTTTATTTTTTTTTTTAGATGATGGATTAAGGACTACTTCATAAGACATCCAACGCTTAGAAAATCACTTGATAACCTAAACCATCTCATGACTTCCCCACAAATGTATCAATTTCCTGTTGCTATGATGCTGTTTGTTTACTAAAACCCTGCAGGCTTACAAAGAACAGCTGGATTTACACCAATGATACGATTTCTAAAGGCAGCTTGTTGCACTGGATTTTACTAAAGTGAAGGGTCCCAATTTTTCTGCAAGATACTGCATTTTATAGGCAGGTGCATTATGAGTCTGACCTACAGGGATGACGGAGATAACGGATGTGAAATTCAGGTGAGTGGAGATGCAGTTTCAAAAGCTCGGTGACTCATTGTGCTCAGCCTGCTGCATCTGTATCTGACATCTGTCACAACAATCACAGTCATCCCCCATGCTCGCATTAATAGAAAATAGGCAACATGTTACTCAAAAATAACTCAAATCCAGTGAATGAGCAGCTGGGAGGATGAAATCATGCATGCTACAATTGAAAGAAAGGGATAAGCAAATGTGGAAACTTAATTGTACATTAATGAGTAAACAAACACATTCAGCGTCTAGGCTTGTGAGGATGAGCTATGCAGCAAAGCGCCTCATGCTGGCTGTGAGGAATATCAGAGAAAAGTGGGCTGTGAATGAACTGCTCTTATCGGCCATGTGCAGTTTCCCAACCACTGGAGGGGAACTAGTAAATATCACATGCTTAATTATAACCAGACTGCTACTTGTCTCAGTTTTCACAATGATACTTTCATCTCACTCCGCCGTTGCTTGAATGAAAACATGAGTGAAATATTCAGAGATTTACTCTGATTTTTTATTTTTATTTTTTATATCAAATGAGAAAAATAAAAGTTTATGAGTGTGAGAGGATGTCGAAAACACCTTTAAAAAAATCTACAGGATAAATGAATCCTTCCTTCTACTCGACCAGAAGCTCCCAGAGAGCTCACCATTATCAATGTGAGCCATCAGCTTGCACTACTACACAATCCTTCCCCAACTGTCAGGCAGCTCATGTAGTGCAACTTAATGTGGCCACTTGCTGTTAGTGGGAAGAAGGAGGGGGCTGCCGGGCAAGACAATGATTCACAAAAACAACAAAAAAAAAAAAAGAAGAAGAAACAAGCTGCAAAAACAAACGTGGGCGCACTCACACACTCCAACGCCAAATGTCACCAATGAGTCACTAAACAGTCTGATGGGAAGTGCTTGGTGAGCTTTCAGAGGAGGTCACTACACTGTGTGGAGTTAGTGATATGAACAAAGCGTTGGAGGGAAAGGAAAGAGGAAGGTTAAAGAGTGCAGTGTGCGGCTGTTAACTTGAGTTTTCAAACGGTTTCAGTGGTTTTAACCCTGCGCAGGCTAACAGGAAGTTAGCTGGAAGCAGCAAATGTGCTATCTATTGCTTTTTGCTTCATTGGTCAGCTAAAGAGTGAGGTGTCGGACATCTGAGTAATTAACTTGTCGGGTTTAAGGTTAAACACTGATTGAGAGGCTCACAGAGACCCAATTTGGTTTTTATAGCCTGATTGCCCTTTTATACATTTTAATTGTTTTCCTTCATTAAACATATATTTGACGATAAGGGTTCCATCAAGACTCAAAACTCAGACATAGCTCATTTTAACTCACTTAATGAGTGGACAAGCTTTGGCTTCTGGCAAAGAGTCGCCTTTAAAAAAAGCCACAGTGGGAAAGTGGGTCAAACTTCTATAGAGGAAAAAAACTGTAGGTCTTACTCAGTATACAATCTGTCTGAACAAAGTTTTCTAATTGCTAGATGTTCTAATTGGACAAATATCATGGCATACTGTACATGGAGGCAGGAAGAGCTTGGTATAGCAAGCAAAAAACAATTAAACTTTGTTTGAGGAAAATAAAATAAACTCAATCAAGGTTTTGAGTGATTTAATTAAGGGAGATGTAGAAGAAAATTAATGAAAAAAAACTTGATAACATCAAAAACTCCACAATCTATTTGTTAAAGAGGGAATGATTTGACAACATGCTTAAATGTTTAAAGAATATTTTAAAATCTGACTTTTGTCAAAAGATTATTGGTCTCCCAGGAGTTTAAAGAAAGGAGCTTGAGGCTAATTTCAAGATCTAACCTTTAATTTTAATCTAAATGGAAAAGATGGTAGGAAGTTACCAATTTTGATTCATCAGAGAAAACACCACTTTGACCATGATAGAACAGCAAAAGAAAGCTATGAGTGGAAATCAGAATACTGTAGGCAGAATAGCCCTTTCACAGGTCAGTCTGAGACAGTAGATGGTAATAGATTTCCTGTTTTATTGAACTGGATGTTGGCATAGTATACAGCTTTGGATTCATTATAGAATTAAACGAGTCACTATAAATGGATGGGGTTTCACAGTGATGCAAAAAAAACTATATTGGTTGTTATTCTTTTGTTGACTGATGCAGAGTCAGATGTCCACCTTGCTCAGCAGCCTAAGCACTTGGGGAAGCAGTTGTTCAAAGGTGCTCTTCAATCTGGGATAGAAAAGAACCTGAGATAATCGTTTCAACTGTGCCTTGGGCAAGACATAGCCTCGCTCTGTCAGTTCACCCCAAGAGTGGCTGCAAAATAGCTTACCAGCATATGAATGTGTGAACGACTCAATTTGATAAAAAAAAAAAAAAAGAATTTTATTACTCCCGAAGGGAAATTAAATGTTGCAGTACCCCTTAGTTTATATTTTTCTTGATAGCTGTAGGAAGGGAGGCCCTTCTGTAGCGGTCTGACTTGCACCACATCTTGAGAGGCCTCTGATTGAAAACACTATTAAAAATCTTCTGAAGAGGATTCTCAGTGTTGTCCATGATCTTCTTAACTGGATGAAGATCTCTTCTCCGATAAATTATCTCCAGAGGTTCAAGATGAGTTTGTAGAACAGAATCGCCCTGATGCTGTTACCCCAGCAGATCATGGAGGAATGTAGTGGAGAGCTTTGAGGACCGCAGACTTGATAAGGGCCCACTTAGATTGAAGCTGTTTTGATATTCATATTTACTAGAGAAGTATTTTCTGATGGATAAATTCTTATATAAAATTAAACTAGGATTTAAAGCCTTCTGAACTTCTTAGTTAGCAATGCAAAATAAACGGATAAATTGCTAAGGCTGCTTGGTATCAGGAAAATCAGCCATAATCAGGTATTGAAGGTTAAAATGACAATAATCTTGCAATAAATACATCTTTTTAGTTTAGGTTTCCTGTGAATTATAATCCAAATTAGAGAGAAATCTATAATTGAAAGACAAAGTAGATGTCTCTCCAACAAAATTCTTTTATTACGATACTTTGATCATAGCGCTAGTTTTTACGATAATAAAACAAAGTTTGTTTATTTTTAGCATGTATATTTGATGTGACAGTCACAATGTTTTTTGATACATAATGCAGTCTGATCTCTGCTTAAAAAGGGAGTACATTTCAGCTTCAAACTAAGTGAAAAAAAATTCTCT